TCTTTCCCCCTGCAATCAGTCTCGGCACGCTCCGAGCTTCCATTTGCATTTCCAAAGAGAGGGCGCTTCTTGATTGGCCCTGGAATCAGTAATTAGGCCGTATTGTTTGCGGTAAATACACACTGCACTTGGATTGTTTGCAAATAGTTCCCGAGGCAGAAACAACGAGAAAAAGCCAATTAAGGACAAAGAGGGAGAGTGAAATGGAAAGTAGGATTTTCGGAGTGATTAGCAAATGCAGAGTGAATGCAAAGTTGTTGGGCTGACAGAGGTTTCAGCTCTGATTTAAGATCTCGCAAAATGATTGTTTGATGGTTGCTACGAGTCAGAACTAAAACTATCAGAGTTCAAGCCGATGAGAAGTTAGCATCTCCATTTGCACATTTATGTTTTTCAGTGTTTGGTGTTTTCTTTACATACCAGGAGAATACAGGGACACACAAGAAATGCATGAATGTGTGTACTCTCGCCTGGTATACTGTATGTACCTGTCTCCCAATGATTGTTACCTTCTCTATTTTCAATTTTTTTCTAAGTAATCCTCTGTCTTACTCTTTGTTTTTCTCTCTTTGCTCATGTTTCATGCCCTCCTCTCCTGGCAGAGTAACACGGGAACACAGAGAGAACCTTGCCAAGCTGGCCAAACAGTTCAGCAACAAGGCTAAAGACTCGCTGAGGAGAGTCCGAAGTAACGCTGTTGCACAGGTCAAAAAGGCCAAGGAAGGGCACTCAGAGGACACCATACGACTTGTTGAAAAACAGGTAAAAGACAAGGAGGAAAATCACAACAGCGCTGTTAGACTTAGAGACAGAGGCCTTCAGCTACATAAAGCTACTTACTTGATAGACCGGACTGCATACGGACTTTTAAAGGTTGAGTTAAGCGGCTGACTGATCATTAGAACCTAGTAAGACCTGAAGCTGTTGTAAGTGGAACCCAAACTATGTAATGATACAGCTTTTACTACAGTGAAATTGTAACTAATGCATGAAGTCATTTCCTAAAAATTTACTATTGTAGAATTTTGCTATATTTTGTAAATTCCAAATCATCTGTCAAGTTGTATTCTGTCACATCACAACTACATGAGATTATCATTACAAGGCATACACTAGATGTAGCAAGTGTGCCCAGAAAATAGTTGAACCTTTTTCCATCTTCCCCTCTGCCTTCACAGATTCAGCAGATGGCAGACAACATTGCAGCAGACATGGACAAACAACTTGCAGCCAAGACTAAGGAGCTACTAGGCTGAAGGCGGTGATAAGATGAAATGTGCAGGTTTATTTTTGATATCGCATCATTCGATTATAGCTGAACTTGGAACAGAGGGTCGCTCTTATCGTTCTGAAAATGGATGGATCACACTGGGGTGGTAGTTTCTGAAACCCACAGACATACAAGTCTTTGTTCTCTAGTACATTTTTGGGTTCACCTGATCTCGTCGCTGCTGGGTGATACTGGTGTTTAACCAAATTTGGAACAGCCCAGGTTGCTATTCCTGTCTTCAAACAAACATCAAGCAAGGGCCGAATGAACTTTTAATGAGATTTGTGGACCTCCTCCTAATCAAACCTCTTGCATGATGGCTGTTTATAAAAACAAGTGCATCCTTCTGAATGTAAACTGGCTGCGGGTTTGTCTCGGCGGCAAGAGTGAGAGAGGCGCAGAAGCTGATTAAAACGAGATCATTGCCAAACATTTGTTTCACATTGCCTCAAAGTTTGTTAAAAATGCACTTCAGAGTATAAGGTCTTTAAATTATGCTCATGTCTAGGATCGATAATATGGCTACCTGCTTTTCAACACAGTGAAGTAGCGTTATTGATGGGTTCCATTAAAGAAACACTGCTTTGCACCATGTGCATCATCTTTCTTTCTCGTTTTCTTTTCTTTTTTCCTCCACTTTCGGTTTGAAGTCTCCCCCTCCTCCATTAGTTAGAGTGATAATGGACTTTTCCTGTGTACAGACCTCGAGGCCCTGCCTGCTGGCGCCATAATTGTCCATTAGGAAAGAGGCTTTTAATGTTTTGCACTTGGCCTTTTTTTGTCTTTAAATAGCTGCACTTTTAAAGCCATGGTCAGGAACTGTAGCATGAGCAGTTGCTGAAACCTGCTCATTAGCCAGAACAGGAGACCGACCCAGTGACACACACAGCTCTGCTTCTATCCATGCCTTGTTTACACCAGCCAGAGACTTTCTGTACTGTTATGTGGTTGGTGTCATTTTTTATCCTGATTTGTTTTGCTTCCCTGCTACTGGTGGCAGACAGGCTTCATTTTAAATGTTTGCCCACACACTTTGTCTTACAGCCACCCAGTCATTTGATGATTACAGTGGTGCAACATTGCAAACTGCTAATTACATCTTTATCAAAATGCTGTCTGGCTTCTTTAAAACAGAGACAATAGAAGATTAGTGACGCTGGGGATTTTATGGTGGTTTTACTCATCTTCACTGCTACATGGCAGCTGCACTAAGTCGCACACTACAGATTGTGGCTTTATTACATTTGCCTTGAACCTCTGTTTTTGCTTTAATGGCCTAAATAGACCAGAGTCATTTGATAAACAAGAGTTTTGCAGAAGAGTGGCTGGGTCAAGTAAGAGGAGGGGCAGGGTGGGAATGGCAGGTTTTTGTGGTGATTCTAGGTCCATATGTCAGCAATTTGAGGGCATTGTGTACCTTGGCCTAAAACAGAGGCTTCATGATCGATGGAGGGGTGAAAATCTCCCAAGTCTCAGGCGCAAAACACACGCAAGCACAAGGAAATTGCTTTCAGCTGATAGCTTCATTTTGGTTGACATTTATCAAGTGAACTACCCCCGTTCCTTTCAAATGTTTACTACGACTTGCACCACCTTTGACGTACGTGTGTGTGCGCATTGCATGTGTGCATGTGACAGCATTTGTGTGGGAGTGAAAGAGCAGTAGGGGTTTGTCTGTGTGAATGTTATGGTGTGTCCTTTGGCGATTCCTCGCAAAAATATACAAGTCTAAATTAGTTCAGTAAACGTTTGATTTGATGGTCGAGCCTTTAATCCACTGCTGCTGCATTTAAGGAAAGATAACCAGAGTTAAACACTCTGACCTTAAAACTTGAACTCTCAAAAAGCTGTTCAAAATAGAAGTCACATTCCCAATAAATTAAAATGTAGTTTAAGTTGAAATGAGACAAATTTCTGTTAATTAGCAGCAAAGGTGGCATTTGTAGGATAGCAGTAAAAATAAAAATGTACTTTAACAGTAGCAAAAGTAGAGAAGAGTTGCTAACATATAGTCACCTGTGGTCATACCAGGCCAAGTAAGGTAGAAACAGCCAATCTGCTGAGTTTTCATCTGTATGAAGAAACATTACATAGTCTGAATCCATGAACTGATTCCAATTTGATCCCTTTATTGTTATGAGAAAGCACAAATATCAGATACCTCCATGGACAGAGTATAACAAACTCATGCTGGGGAAGGGAAAAAAATCTAAATCTCTTGAGTGTTGCGCTCCTTCTCAGTCTCTCCATCTTTATCTCTACTTTTCATATATATTTTTATATTGCATTATTCATACCCTCTGAGAGAAGCTTTTGACAACGGCCTAATACTAGTTTGCCACAAAGACCAGCATTACATCGTAGCTGTGTAACAGAAGAGAGACGCATTGCCTTTCTGCTTGTTCTTTTCTCTTTGTGCCGTCTGTGATTGCACACTGAACATCAAGCCACGGTGCTC